CGTCGGCCCCAAGGACAGCCGGCTGTCCCGCGACAGCCTGCAGGGTCTGATTCAGGCCGCTGCGGGCAAGGGCCGCAAAAACTCCCGGGCCACAGAGGAGGAGCCCCACCGGGGTGCGACCAAGAGCTCTGGCTGCAGCACCTACATCAACAGGCTCATCAAGGTGGACACTCAGGAGAAGAACGGGAAGAGCAACTATCCCAGTAGCAGTAGCTCCAGCTCCAGCTCCTCTTCCTCCGCATCCTCTTCCCCTTCCTCCCTGGGGCCAGAGCTGGACAAGAGCAAGATTATTAAGCAGCAAGACACGGTAAGAATACAGCCTCCCTTGGACCACTTCTCAGTTGAAGGGGAGCCCGGGGCACCTGCTAAGCCCTAAGCTTCTTTAGACCTAAGAGGCAGTGAGGATAGGTTTCCTAAGGTCCTTTCTCTCTCCACAATTCGGAAACTTCTAAATGACCATTTGAAATTCTTAGACTGTTTTTTAATTCTTGAAAAATTCTTATTCTAGGGGTGGGGAGCTTTGCAGAAATGTACTAGCCATTGAATTTTGTTAGCAGTTTAGAAGAGTCGTTGAATGAGATATTCCTGTTTGGTTACATTTGACCCCTTTATAGATGTAGTTTATTTTAATTTTGATATTCAGGGGAATTGCAAAGCTAGACTTGTGTATGACTTTTATGCTTCTTGAACATGAGGAATGGTAACCTCTCAACTGTGAAGTATGCATTTCAAAGCTTCAGGAAATGGGTTGACCAACCGCCTTCTCCACTGATTTGGAAGTTCCATCATTTTCTGCAGTTCCACCGAGTAAAGGGCTCCTCGGAGCTTCAGCAAGTCTCCAAGACTGCTGCCCTTTCATTCATTCCATGGGTATTTGTGGTGCAGCAACCATATGAGAAAAGGGGCACAGGGCATCAGAGACTTTGGGGAATACAGAATATGACAAGAAAATGCTCTCAAGGAGATTACAGATGAGAAGAGAGGGTGTGTCCTGGGACCGACACACTGGAGGTTTTCTGGGTGCTGTCCAGTGTGGAAAAGTTAAGAAAAGGAGTGTGAACATAGGAAGGGACTCCATCCATTCTTGCTGAGTTGAGTTGGTCTGATTTGGTTGTTTTTATCTTCTCTCCAATGTGAAACGGGAAGAGAAAAGAGCTCAAACCGAGATTTCAGACTCCGGTCCAAGCGATCATTCCTAACATGGGAGCTTTAATATTCTCTTGCCCTGGCTTCAAACCTGTTACCTCCCTGTATGAAGTCAAGAGCCCATAACACATGCTATGTATGTCTGCATTGAGCACTTCTATTTACTCCTCCATTTTTTCATGCTGTAAATACAGCATGCCCACCCTGAGCCAGGCACTGAGTGGAGAGCTGTGTAAAGATGGGACAGGGACCCAGCTCATATGTTATTCAGTGGTCCACCTGACTGTGTGACTAGATCATAATCACCTTGAAGCCAAGGGCTGAGTATCATCTTAGGTTCCTCACTGTATCTTGCAACTGCAGTACACATGGTGGGTAGTCAAGATAAATGTTGGTTAAGTGAATGGCAGTCGCAGTCACAGTCCCTTGCAGTGGTTGTCTGGTTATTTTTATGGTTGTCACTTCTGGATGTCTGAGGTTTCTGAGGCTATTTCCAGGCTGTTTCCTCCTCTTCGCTTCTCCTCATGTATCTGAATTCTCACCAACTCCAGTGTTATTTCTAAACTCTTTGGAGAATGTAACGGAGGTTGTGGAGCAAGGCCTGGAGCTTCCTCCCTGAGAAGGGTCCCCTAACCTCTGGTGTTGTCACCCATGTTGTCACACATCACCTCCTCAGGCACCTTCTATTTTTGGAAAGACAGATGCTTTCTGAAACAAAATAGGAGATCCCAGATAGGGATCAAAACCCTATCTGGTCTGTAGCCTGTGACAGTCAATTTGCCTGTGAATTATTGAACGAAGAACGCATACAATACTGTTTAGTACTGATCTATTTCTCATTTATGATGCCTGTCTCTTTGGAGCTGTGATCCACTCCTTGAGGACAGGAAGCATGTCTTAGGTTTATTTTGACTCCCTCACAGTGCCTAGCCAGTGCTGGTGGATGACTGACTGACTCATTATGACTGTACTGCTCAGCCGATTGAAGTTTGAAAAACTCAATTCATAGGGTATATGGTAAAGCCACATACCCTTTTTGCTGTAAAGCCACGGGTACCCTTCACTCCCCACATCCACCCCTGCCACCCTCTAACCCAGAAAATGTTTTATTGCTTGGGGAAATAAAGGAAGGCATAAAGAGCCTTGGGGATAAGTGAAAGAGTTTAGATGAATTGTTGCAAATCAATTATACAACCAAAAAAATCAGGTGTTTGTCTAACTGGGACACATAATCAAGTGCAAAAGCTATCTGGAACTGGTTGTAGAGATTTTGACCTCTTTGGAGATGCAGGAGATGTCAGTAGCCATTTTGATACCTTTGCCATTTTGGTTTATGGTGGCCCTTAGCAACTGTCCTCTCTTGTTCTTTTACAGGTCATCATTTTAGAAGACTATGCTGACCCTTATGATGCCAAACGGACGAAGGGTCAAAGGGATGCAGAGAGAGTTGGAGAGAACGACGGTTACATGGAACCATATGATGCACAACAAATGATAACAGGTTTGTAAGCAGGCTCTGCAGAATAGGAACTGAAATCTCACACTCAGTGAGAGTGTTGTAATACAGCAACCCTTGTCTATTGGGGAAGAGGGATAAAACAATTTAACCAGATCCTGCTGACTTGAAGAAACAGAAATTAGACCCCAAACTAATGTCAGACTAGGTAACTTCCTTTATGATTTAGTATCCTTCAGAGTTTTAGAATTTAAAGGAGTCTTTATAGTTTTTCTAGTTCTGTGCAAGGTGACGTTTATGAGTGCAGATCTGCTCAGAGTGTGATCAGTTTTAACATGATTATATACATTTTGGGGCCACTTTCAGAAGCTTTAACGTTCATAATGGGAGTCATACATCTTACCAAGGATCTAATACATACTTAAGGGAGTTTAATCTATTAAAAAATGCAAGCATGGCCAGGCACAGTAGCTCATACCTGTAATCCCAGCACTTTGGGAGAGAGGTGGGCAGATCACATGAGGCCAGGAGTTTGAGACCAGCCTGGCCAACATAGCGAAACCCCATCTCTACTAAAAATACAAAAATTAGCTGGGCATGGTGGTGCGTACCTGTAATCCCAGCTATTTGAGGATCTGAGGCATGAGAATCACTTGAACCAGGGAGGAGGAGGAGGTTGTAACAAGCCAAGATCACGCCACGACACTCCAGCCTGGGCGACAAAGCGGGGGGAAAAAAAAAAAAAAAAGGCCAGGCACAGTGGCTCACGCCAATAATCCCAGCACTTTGGTAGGCTGAAGTGGGAGGATCACCTGAGGTCGGGAGTTCAAGACCAGCCTGACCAATGTGGAGAAACCCTGTCTCTACTGAAAAAAAAAAAACACAAAATTAGCCAGGCATGGTGGTGCATGCCTGTAATCCCAGCTACTCGGGAGGCTGAGGCAGGAGAATTGCTTGAACCTGGGAGGCAGAGGTTGCAGTGAGCTGAGATCATGCCATTACACTCCAGCCTGGGCAACAGGAATGAAATTCTGTCTTAAAAAAAAAAATGCAAATATGATGCGATTCTGCATTTTGTAGTAGAAGACTTTCTCAAGTTCTACAATATTGGAGCCAAAAGTTTAATTACTAAGCAGTAATTAACAATCACTGCTGGCCGGGTGTGGTGGCTCACACCTGTAATCCCAGCACTTTTGGAGGCCGAGGTGGGTGGATCACCTGAGGTCGGGAGTTCGAGATCAGCCTGACCAACATGGAGAAATCCCGTCTCTACTAAAAATACAAAAAATTAGCCAGCATCATGGTGCATTTCGGGAGGCTGAGGCAGGAGAATCGCTTGAACTCGCGAGGCAGAGGTGGTGGTGAGCCGAGATCGTGCCGTTGCACTCCAGCCTGGCCAAGAAGAGCAAAATTCTGTCTCAAAAAAAAAAAAAAAAAAAAAAAAAACTGCTGTAAACCAAGCCATTCAAGGCAAACCACCTAAAACCAAAGACTAATCTTATAACTTTTCAAGTCGGAACAATTCCAATTTGTGAGCTAAGCAGTCACTCTGTCATTCTTAGTGTCAAACTTTTCCCTTTTAGTCATAATTAAGTTGATATAAATGATACTTAAATAGAAATAATATAGAGTTATTTGTGAACTTTATGTATTCACCTAGTTTTCCTTAAACATTCTTCTATCCATAATGGAAAATGTAGTTGCTGAGTGCTGCCTCAAGGGAGCCTTATTTGAATCTTGTGGGTTTCATGCCTGGGAAGAGTAACTGGTCCCACATGAAAGACTTTGTCCCTTCTGTTTAGAACCGATTGAAGAGCTGTCAAGCTCAGGTTCTGTAAGTATAGTCTCAGAATGAGTTGAGCAGAGGGTAGCGGCAGCACACTGGAAGGGCCAAGACAGGCTTCAGAATGAAAACGAGCTGGAACAGGAAAGCCTGGCTCCGCTTCCTGCTTCTCTGCTTACAGAGATAAGGCAGTCCGTGTGGGGAGGGTGTACCCTGGCCAGGCTGTGACCCTGAAGGTCACTGGACTGTGACCCCTAATGAAATCTGTGAATGAAAGGAAGTGAAAATGAACTGTCAGAGTTTTAAAAAACATCAGAGCCTTGAAAGGAATAGGGAAAAGGATTTACTTTTACACAAAATTGAGGAAAAGGATTTTCTTAGTTTTATGCTTAATTGTGATTCACCTTTCTTTGTCCTTGGGTTATTATTCTTTTTCTTTAACTAAAGTAGGTAGTTTATACCGTACATCTGTTTATTTGGAGAGCTGCACTGATAAGAGGGAACGTGCTGTGATTTTATAAAAATGAATATAATTTTGGGGGTTTTTTTGTTTGTTTTTTCATGTAATTCCCACAAGAGCTCTGTAAGCTAGGGGACTACAATGCTGTCCCCCTCATGACAGGGTGAAAAAAAACAAGATCAAAGGGATTCAGGCTTGCCTGTGTTCAGGAGATGTTTTAAGAGACAGAGCAGGAATTAGCACCCGGATCTCCCACTCCACATTGAGTGGTCTGCCCCTGACACCACATGGCGTTTAGGACACACTTGAAATGCCATATGCAAAACCACTGTAAACTTCACCCATAAGTGAGGCATCTTTCCGCCCAACCGAGAATGTTGTCTTCAGAAGTCAAAATTGTCCAACATGGAATAAATGTAATAATAATCACTAGCATTTAATATTTGAGGATGTATTAAGTTCCATGCTCTGTTTTAAACAATTTCTGAAAATAAATTCATTTAGGAATACAAAATTAATATATTCAATTGGCAAATAAATTCAAATTTATTAAAAATCCAAATTACTTTCTAAACTAGTGATCTAAGTATACTTTGCTCTTAACTTTAAAAAAAATTTATTTGTGGATTTTAAAGTTTCTTCATTTCGAATATTCAAAATCAGTGTAGAGACTCTACCTCTTATTCTACTCATAGGTTAGAAGCTGGACAGAATAACAGGAAGTGAGTTTATCGGAAGCTAGAAATAAAAGATTTGCTGCTGGGCTTTTGTTTTTTGTTTTTTAAACCTTTTACTTTTTTATTCAGTTTGCTCCTTGTGTACCTGATTGTCAAGTCCGAGTTCAGAAATTTCCCATCTTTCTTGAGAAACGATAGAGATTTTTTTTACTTGTTTCAGCGTTTCTGGAGATGGAAAGGATTTTAATGAACGCAGTTAAACTGTGGAGTGGTTAAATCTGTGTTACCATTTCTGTATTGCCTTTTTTCTACCAGTGAAATGGGAATTACAGGCCTGGTTTTAACAGTATCTTAGGTGTGTGGAATACTGCCCATATGTTGTTTTAGAATACCCAACAAATATTTCTTGGGAGTTTATTTGTTATGTACTAGGCCCTGTCCTGAGCTCTGGGCATACAGGAAACAAGACCCACATGATTTCTGCCCTTGGACCTCACAACCTAAGGGGGAAACAGACCTAACACCAGCAAAGAAAATAAGTCATTGAAAAGCATGATTAAGTGCCATGAAGTTGAGAATAGGAGCCAGCATCTACCTCAGGGGCAGAGGAAACCCAGAGAAGCCCATGTCTTTCCTGTGGCCAAATCGCTATGGGACCCAGGCTCCCTGGGTCTCCCCAAAACTTTGCTCTTTTAAAGGTTAAGAATTTATGAATTTATGAGTAAATTATCACTGAGATTTATCCAAAGGATTGTTCATAAAAAGATATGAGTGAATACAAGGCAATATTCATATAAACCTCTGTTTTTCTGCTAAATTCACAGGAACATTTTAACTAGTCTAGCTTAAATATTTAGCAGAAATATTCTACATAGTCTAGCATTAGGAGTTTTAGCCAGCACTTTGAAACGTTAGCATTAGACGGGTCTTTAAAAGTTCCCATTGGCTAGTTAGCATGAGGATTCTTTCTGCAGTTGATGTCATACAGCTGTAAATTGAGAGCTTACTAGGTACCAGCCTGGCCAAATTACCTCACTAAATCTTGCAGCAACCCTGTAAAGTGTTTTGTTTGTTTGTTGAGATGGAGTCTTGCTGTGTTGCCCAGGCTGGAATGCAATCTCAGCTCACTGCAACCTCTGCCTCACGGGTTCAAGTGATTCTCCTGCCTCAGCCTCCCAAGTAGCTGGGATTACAGGCATGTGCCACCACACCTGGCTAATTATTGTATTTTTAGTAGAGACAGGGTTTCACCATGTTGGTCAGACTGGTCTCAAACTCCTGACCTCAAGTGATCCTCATGCCTCGGCCTCCCAAAGTACTGGGATTGCCAGCCACAAAGTGAGCCACCATGCAAGTGGGTTTCTTTATACGGTTGAGGAAACCTAGGTTCAGAAAGATTAAATAATTTGTCCAAATTACACAACTGAAAATACCATGTCATTCAGCAAGCTGTGGTTTTAGCTTTTGAGCTCCAGTTGAAGATTATTTTTAAAATTTTATTTTTACTTCCAAATGATTTTGTTGGTTTGTTTAAATAGCCAAATCTAAAAGAGAACCTCACTGTTCGAGTCTCCATTAAAAAAAAAAAAAAGCTATTATGTCCATCTGGCCAGGCCCAGTGGCTCGTGCCTGTAATCCTAGCACTCTGGGAGGCCAAGGTGGGAGGATCAGTTGAGACCAGGAGTTCAAGACCAACCTAGCCAACATCGTGAGACCCCATCTCTAAAATAAAAAATAAAAAATTATGTCCATCTTTGCCTGAGATTTAAACAGAAAAAACCTTATGGAAAAAAGTGCAAATGAAGACTGGTTTTGATTTGTCTTTATTCTCTTTGCTAAATTTCAGGGTTTCTGAATTATACTTGCTTTTGTTCAGATATTTAGATTTATTCAGTAAGAAAATATTAAAGTGACTTTAAAAGCTTGAGCACAGATCAAAGATGTGAGTAAAAAATTGCCCAACACCCCTGTTTCTGATGCCAGAAGGAAAATAGAGTCTTAAGAGGCTCTAAGTTTAATGTTTTGGAAACATGAAATGGATTAAAATGGATTAGGGAAAAAGGCACATTATTTGGAAATTGGAATTAACGTTTTACATGAAATCATTTGAGCATAAGGCATGGAC